GTATTTTTACAGTCTTTATTTTACAGTTAAAATGTATGTTTATTAAATAAAGTCTAACGTTACAACTAATCAGGGATCCCTTTAAAACAATGAAAACAAATGAAGCAGGGGAGCCGTCAGCGCCGCAGCAGCAGCTGGTTTCCTGTCTGTCGACCTCAGCAGGAAATGAAATCGTTGTCAGTGTCGCTGACAGGAAACGGTGACTTGTGGTTTGTCATCTAATCTCAGAGGAATCTGAAGTCACCGCAGCACAAACCACATCCCAGACTGACTGATGCAGCTCGTTTCCATCAGCTGAACAAACACGATTCACCTCAAAACACTAAAATATTGTCAGTTATTAGTAAAAGGATAGTTGCAGTTTAGAAGACTTTCTGCTTATTTTTTTGTTATTTTAACCATTTACAAATCCAACCTTTCAGCTCAATTAAGAGTAGGGATTTATTAAATCTGTATTATTCTTTCCCAAATTCTGTTTTTATTTTTCTAAATTCCACTTTTTCTCTGTAACCACATTTGTGACCCGTCACATCGAAACCAGGATTAAATCCAAAAGTGGGATGTGAAGAAACAGGAAGATACGGGGTTTTGATTTAAACGTGCAAAAACTGCATTTTGTCAAAATTAGGGATGCACCGATACCAGTATCGGGTATCGGTCCGACACCATGTGCTTTGTAAAAGTGCTCCGACACTACAGGACCCGATACCAGCTTCTTTTCGCTCAGTTTGTGCATAGACGCTCTAAACCAGCAGGAGGAGGAATCGCGCAACAGACTTAATGCCAGCCGCATAAAAAAACAGAAGAAGAAGACGACGACCACGTTAGCCGAGCTGAACAAACTTTAACAAGCAGTTTGTAGAGGAGGCGTTATGTCATCGGTGTGGAGGTATTTTCAGGTGACAGCAGTAAGACGTCATCCCTGCTGTGACCGTGCTTCTGACACTCCTAAACAAAGACACTGGTGAAGATCACAGGATCAAAACCATGAAGTCCACTTTGGCTGCAGCTGTCACGAGGCGCTTCACTGATGCTGAGAAAAACCCCTCTACTGCATCTCAACTGTACTGGATCCAAGGTAAATTAAATTAATGAAATTATTAAAAATAATAATATAAGCCTTGATTTGCCTAAAATTTTATTTTTATTTTTATAAGGGTTTATTTGCCAAGTAATCTGATGGAGGAAAAATCATCATGACCAAGCTACAATATATTACAAATTAAACATTTATTACTTAATTGCAATTAATTTAACATACTACAAAGTTTATTTAGTTTAGTTTATTTATCTAGTTGATGGTACAATGCTCATATTCAGTGAGGGCCCTGTAACACATTTTAGATAACTTGAGTCGATCATTAAAATTTTTACATCTACGATGAAGATGGAATAAAAAATAAATCAACTGGAAGTCTCTTTTAGGTGTATTAGGTTTATTTATTTATTTTTGTACATGCTGTCATAGTATGTTTATATGACAGTAAAATGTTTTAAACCAATAGTAATGTACTTTGTTTATTTATGTTTGAAGTGCCTAATGAAAATAAACTGTTTAAGTTAAGTTTAAGGATTTTTAAGGATATTTATTAGTACTTGTATCGGTACTTGGTATCGGCAAGTACTTTAATGTAAGTACGTGTACTCGTACTCGGTTTTCAAAAATCTGGTATCGGTGCATCCCTAGTCAAAATATAATGAATAAAAGCCTTATCAATGTATCTGTTGAATGAACTGTCTGAAATATAATCCTAAAACAATTGGAAGATGTTTTTGGGCAGTAGCAACAAAAATAAACTGATTTTGAGGGAAAAACGCCTTAAATTTTTGAATTTTTCCCTGTGAGATAGCAATGTTTTTGTTTCTTTCCAGCTGGGAAATCTTAATCTACAAATAATATTTGAGGTTTTCTCGTTACATTGACATAAAAAATTACTCAAAAAATTTACACAAAACTAGAATTCAGACCAAACAGTAATGTATTATTGTAACCAAAAAGACAAATTAAGCTCTGGATCCACTTATGATATCAGAATGATCCAGGTATCAAAATGTAACTTTTAAAGCAGGAATTTGAAAATGTAATTAGGTCATTTTGACCAAATTTGACTAAATCCTCACTTCGATATGATGGATCACGTTTATTAACCAAAAACGTGTGTAATTATAAATTAACTGAACAATAGTTTAATTAAAAGCCTAAAAAAATGTCTGTTATTTCACTTTCACTAATATGAGAAAAAGCTGTGGTTCTGTGGAACATTCAATTCTTTTTTCAAGGTGTTAAAAAGAATTTACTAAAAAAAACATTGTGTAAATCATAGAATCTCACATTAAAGTTATCCCTCAGTAAAACAAAAGTTTTAGAGTTGAACTTGACATTAAATATGTCATAAAGAAACATAAAACCTACAAACAAACCATTGGTGCACACTTGCCTGTTGAACAGGATCTAAGCTCATTACTTACTATTATTATTTAAAACAACCAAATGATTGTCCTGTTTTTACATTTTACAGCAAATCTTCAAATGAAAACCTAAAGATTTTACATGGTTACGATAAATAAAATGAGATTGTTGTCTAATTTGGGCTCACTTTAATCGTAAAGACATCATTCAGAATGATTAAAGACAGCTCTTGAGGCGTCTTCGGTTTATTTTCAGGATGAAGATGAAGACAAACTAAATCTGTTACGTTTCTAAAAGAAACCAAACGTTCTTAAACATCTCCGTGTCTCTAACGGTACCTTGACGGTGTTGAGGAGCTGTCCGTCGATGTAGAGCGCAGCCATGCTGTTCTTCAGCATGCCCTTGCTCATGACCAGCACCAGGTGGTGCCACTGGCCCTCAGCGATCAGCTCGCCGCAGCGGAAACGAGCGCAGCAGGGCAGCAGCTCATAGAAGGAGGCTTCTTCGCCCGACTCGTCGGCTGCTTGGTGGTGGGGAGGCACAAACACACAGAGCAGCCACAGTGAGTCGCACCAACTGGAGCTAACAGCTAACAGCTAACAGTTATCGAGTGAAACGTGTGGAGGCAAAGTGAAACGCTGCGTCTCGCTGCTCTTACAGTACGTCTGCAGCAGCTCCTCCTTGGTGGAGATGGTCAGCGAGCGGTCTTTAGCCGACAGCACCACGGCCAGGCACACATAGTGCTGCTCCGAGGAGGTGGCCCGCCGGACCACGGTCAGCAGCCGCACCGGGTGGGCCTGAGCAGCCGAGCTGAAACGCTCCACGCAGAACCAGGTGGAGTAGCTGAGACCTGACGGAGGAGGAAACAAGCGCTCACCTGAAGAAGAAGAAAAAGACACGTTTAGCTTCAACGCTCCACGCTGACACAAACTCCTTCCTTCTGACACGTTTTAGGCTCGTTTAAAACTACACAGATTTAAAATTGTAGTTTTAATCTGATAAAAACACGTTGGATTTATTACCATATATTCCATTTTATTTATCCCATCTGTCATTAAATCAAATGATTTATTAGTGTTTCCATTTTCCTCTTTATTTCTTCTGTACTTTTACATACTATTCTGCTACTTTAAGCTTTTAGCTACTATTCTGCTACTTTTAGCTTTTTGCTCTGTTCTGCTACATTCAACTTTTACCTACAATTCTGCTACCTTTAGCTTTTAGCTACTGTTCTGTTACATTCAGCTTTTAGCTACTATTCTACTACCTTTAGCTTTTAGCTACTGTTCTGTTACATTCAGCNTTTAGCTTTTAGCTACTGTTCTGTTACATTCAGCTTTTAGCTACTATTCTACTACCTTTAGCTTTTAGCTACTGTTCTGCTACATTCAGCTTTTACCTACTATTCTGCTACTTTTAGCTTTTAGCTACTGTTCTGTTACTTTTAGCTTTTAGCTACTGTTCTGCTACTTTTAGCTTTTAGCTACTGTTCTGCTACTTTTAGCTTTTAGCTACTATTCTGCTACATTCAACTTATAGCTACATTCTGCTAAATTTAGCTTTTACATACTATTCTGCTACATTAAGCTTTTACCTACTTTTCTGCTACATTTAGCTTTTACCTACTCTTCTGCTAAAGTAGAGCTTTATTTTATTTTTGTGAAAAAACTAATTTTTCTAAATAATTTAAGTTGATGTAATCTAAAACAGGAATGGGCAACTGGTGGTCAGTGGTTAACTTCTGTCCGGCCTGCTGTCTGCTGACGGAATTTCAAAGCAAACCTGTGCTATCACGTCGGGGTCACCGTTTATTAGAAACGTGTTTGAAAGCCCAAATTAAAATGGTTCAGAGTCTACGAGTCCTCAGGGTTATAGAGAACTCTGTCACACCTCCTGGGGGCGGTCCCTCCTACGTCAGCATTGAAATGTTTCTTTAAACTAAATAAAGACTTATTAGCTGTGTTTCCATTGACCATGAAAATGCGCAAAATAGAATTTCGAAAATAAATTTGCTCAATGGAAACACGTCAATTTCGAAAAAAATTACATTTTTCGACAACATGTTTTTGCGCTAGGATGAGGTGGTTTTTCGGCCGTATCGAAATTGGTGTTCTTCGCAAAACTGCAATGGAAACACTTTTTTCGCATCATGAGAGTCACGTGATCAACAACCGGCTGTTTCTACTGGTGAAAAAGACGATGATGAAGAAGATAACAGGAAGTAGAAGTAGTAGTAATATCACAGTAGTA